TATAAGCCACCTCTACACGGGGAGCGGGATCTGGAGCACTTTGACCCACAATTCACAAATGAACCGGTGCGCTTCACACCAGATGACCCGTAAGTACATTGAACTTTACCAGTAGTAATTCATTGACTTTTAATCTGCATTAGCTAAGTGAATGTACTGTATTACAAAACAAGAATTGCTGCACTATATTAAAAATAAGCTCAGTTCTGGATGTATGATCATGGAAAATTCTTGTAAGTAAACCAAAAATATATGTCACAAACAGTATATATATTATTGGTTTACTTACAAGAATTTTCCATTTTCAGAATACAAATAATTATAAAATATTTTCAAATAGGTCATTAATTTGTCCTGCTTCTTTTTTTTTCTTCTAGGAGAATTGTAAATGAAATTGACCAATCAGAGTTTGAAGGATTTGAATATGTTAATCCTTTGTTGATGTCAGAAGAAGTACCTGTCTAAACTCGGTACCAAAAACGACGCCCTCAAATTTAAATTTGACCAAGCTCATATCTTGATGTCTTCAAATGTGTGTTGATTGCTACAATATATTTGCCTACAAATGCCAAGTTTTGCAATTCTGGGGTTTATTTGGTGGTAGTACCTGTAGTGTATTTAATAGGACCACATTCTGATAAATCTGTAAACCAGCCAATACTATGTTGGACCAACATTTAGTCAAAACAAAAGTATACATTATACAATATTATGCAGTTCAAAGTAGTAATGAGTATTAATATGGAGCTGTCGATTCACGGCGGTAGACAATGGGTATGGAGAGTTAAATGACCGTCACGGATGCCTCCTGTCCTCTTGAAACTCGTTTCGATCACTGTGCCCATGCACAGGACGTTAGCTCGTACACATACACGCTCAAGTTCCCAGTGCGTCGCTTCACGTCAAAAATTTAGACCAAATGTTAAATCGAGAAAAGACCGTTCTGTAATTGAATGAGACAGTAGGTACTGAACTTATACGCATGCGCAGATTAATATTTTGTTCAATTTACTGTCCTTCTCTGTCTACCGTCGTGAATCGAAAGCTCCCTAATGAGTCTTGTTGACAGTTTACCATTCCAGAGTTGGGAGAGACTAGGTTCATGAGATGTTGGTTCTTTTAACGATTACCATTTGATTTACTCTAATTCCAATGATTACGCTGTGGGGCTTGGGTTTTTAGTCATTACCAAACGAGTTACTCTAATTCCATTGCCTTTAGTTAAGTTTATTCTTGTTCTACTGTGCAAGTTTTTTTTTTTTATTTGTATAAAAGTTTGGAAAATATTTTTAAACGTTTGAATAAAAACACTGTCATCCATCCCATGAAACATGCAGCACCTTGATATGAAATAATTCCAAATTTATATATGTAATATTTTTTTTCTGAATTTGTAACAAAGATGTAGGACTGCTGAAGTCATCAAAGATCTAGGTCTTTTCTTTAGATAAAAATTTTCTATGCAAGGAAAAATAAAGATTTCCTTTAAGTTTATAGATTTTATTTAGAAGATGGCTGTAGGCCCTCACCCATGGTGACATGTTGCTTTTCAATATCTATTTCCAGACTTCTTTACTCCCACTTATATATTTCAATTCTTTACTATAATATGCACATTGTATTTATACACACATTTGCTTATTTATTCTGATTTCTTTGAAGTAGCCAACTTTATTCTACATTCTAATGCAACTCTGCTCTTTCATACTTTTATATTTGTGTATTTAGCATTTATTTATCAATATTATACACTATGTGTTTGTTAGGTTCTTTAGTTTTAAATCTGTATGCTGTCCTTAGCCTTTACAAATGTGCTATGAAATGTAGATGTAAAGTTATTAAATAAAATAAGCAAAATATATAGTAGTCAAGTCTAACTTATTACTTTCATGTACTGTCTTCCTTGTAATGTAAGTTTACTAATACAGAGACGGTGATTATATCCTGTGTGACAAGTTGCATACATCCAAAAATGGACCCTAAGATATCAGAAATTTTTTTTTAAATACTTATGTTTATGCCAGTACAAAATGTGACTCGTTTGCCAAGAAATCTACAAACGTTGCTACTTGGTTGGCATTAGATGTGATATTCAATTTACCGCATTTGAATATGCGCTTCTATGTTTTTGATTATGCATGCTAATATATACATACATATGTGGTAGACATGGGTAACATAAACTTGCTGAATTGCAAATTATCACAATTATGTCAGATGACAGGCTGAAGTTGCAGGGGAAGATTATCAAACAAAAGGTAATGATGCCAATCACAAGAAATTGCTATGCAAATCTAGTGTCTTTGTTTATTTGCATTGCGTGAAATCCAAATATCAAAACCAATTAGGCTATGTATGGAAGTTTTGTTCACAAATATTTGAGCACATATCGGTATTGTCATTCAGTGCAACAGTGGCATTGCTAGGTGAAGACAAGCCCCAGTGCAGGATTAATTGCCAGGCTATAGTGGGGGGTTGCAGGGAGCCGTCAATTTCCCTCCTCTAATGGCCTAGGCTAGTAATAAATACTATTAACAGGAACCTTCGCATAGTTACCAACCTGAGAGATTTGAAATGCGTGAGTGACTACACCAGTTGGCTGGGGTGGCCAGGGGCTGCCAGGGTGCATTTAACTTTGTATAAAACATACTCCAAATAAAGTAAGACTCGTCATTGTGATTCAATATTTCAATCTTTTATTAGATTATCATCAGGAATGGAATTTGTGATCATGCATGTGTTTCTGCAAAATGTGTCCAAAACCACTTTGAAATACGGTACCGTCCCACACAATGAGAGACGGCTACATCATCCCAGAGGTAGCACCAGGATTTGCCCGACAGGTGTTACAGTGTCCCCAATGGGAA